GAGCTTCGCAGTCCCAGATTTCTATAAGTACGTGTTTCTGTCAAATTTTAGGATTACTTCTTCAGATCTTCTTTTTGGATAATAAGGTTTATATTTGGGGATATTTTGCTAGTTTTCTTTGATGTTTTATTGAGTATTCAACTCATGGTTTAAAGAGAGTACATTAAAGGTTTTGTTTGTTCTACAAAAGAGAGAGTTGTTCTTCGGTGGATTCTGAAGAATTCGAGCCTGAAGCTTTGGTGGATTCCGGGGTGGCTCATCGTAAAGACAATTCCGAGGTGAAGACGGGTTGGAAGAGGCACATAGAGGTCGGTTCAATTAGGCGTGGATTCGCTAGGTAATTGAGAGTATACCTGTGTAATTCCTTTAAATTTTCTTAGTGGATTGTTTTGTGGTTGTTGCCCGTGGTTTTTTTAATCACAGTTGGAGGTGTCCAATTGTGGTTTTTTCCACGTTAAAATCGTTGTGTCTCTTTGTCTTGATTGTTTAATTGGGATTGTTATATTTTGCTTAAAATTAATACATAATCACAAATCAACATCTAGGGGATTTCTAGATTTTTCACAACTATTCAACACAATTGGCATTCTGATTGCCGGCCTTGTCAACTACTTCACCAACATGATTAAGGGCAACTTGGGTTGGCGCATCAGCTTAGGTGGCGCGGCTGTTCCAGCCGTCCTCATGATCCTCTCATCTCTCTTGGTCTCCGAAACCCCAAACTCCCTCATCGAGATAGGCCACTTCGAAGCCAAGAAGCAGCTCCAGCACATCCTCGGAGTTGCCCATGTCCAAGCCGAGTTCAACGATCTGGTGGATGCAGGTGCAGCCTCAAAGGAAGTGGAACACCCATGGAGGAACCTATTGATGAGCAAGTATAGGCCTCAGCTTTGTTTAGTTCTGTTGATTCCGATGTTCCAACAACTCACTGGGATCAGTGTAGTTATGTTCTACGCTCCTGTGCTGTTCAAGACCGTTGGGTTCTAGAGCAAAACTTCGCTTGCATCGGCCATGATCACCGGTGGTGTGAATGTTCTTGCGACATTTATCTCTGTGACTGATAGGGGGGGGGAGGAAACCCCTATTTCAATGGGGAGGTGGCATCATGCTTGTGTTTTAGGTAATCCTTGTAACCAATTCTTTTTCTCCATCATCTTTATATATATGTATTGATTTTGTGTCCAAATTTTCAAGTTTGTAAAACACACTAGTATTGTATTTGCACTATTTTATTACATGCTAAATTTTTTACTTACATTTTTTTTTATTGTGTATGTGTTATTTATATATGCAGAGTGCAGTAGCAGTTCTTATTTGCGCTAAATTTGGAGTAACAGGAGATGCTTTTGATTTGGGAATCCTATATATTCAAGCATCCTAGTATGTTGCATCTGCATCTTCGTCACAACTTTTGCATTTTCATGGGGTCCTCTAGGATGGTTGGTGCCTAGCAAAATCTCCCTCTCGAGATTCGGTCATCCGCGTAGAGTATCGTCGTGGCTGTGAACATGTCATTCACTTTCCTCGTTGCCCAAGTCTTCCTTGCTGCTCTTTGCATGGTCAAATTCGGCCTATTCATCATCTTTGCAGGTTTAGTGCTAATCTTGAGCCTCTTCGTCATCTTCTTCGTACAATATACCCATCGAGGAAATGTCACAAGTGTGTAGAGGGCACTGGTACTGGAAAAATTTTGTTGATGATAAAAAGGAAATCGAGGTGAAGAATGAAAGGAGTTAGAAAGATATACATAGCTAGTCCGCATGTCATTATTAGTATTTTTTTTTTTTTTGGGTTGTAAGTTTTGTTTTTATTTATACCTTTTAGTTGTTCAACAAAAAACCAAGGTTGTTAGGATTCTTTTGTATAAATTTTACTGGTCTTATACATTAATTTGTGGTTGTGTTTTGACGTTTTCTGGGCAACCAAGCAGTGTGTGATGGGAAAATACAAACAGAACTATATAGAAAATTTCAGAAAACCCATTTATTGTCTTGTTTGGTTATTTAGACAAATGAGAGGAATAGAGGACAGAAATTTGAATCCCTTAGTCTAGGTTGGTTTGGCCTTTTGAATGAAAAATTCATATGATTCGAGACATATGGGTGTTTTCGAGATAGCTGATTTTTTTGATCAGCAAAGCAAGAGCTTTATTGATGAATAAAAAGCACAAAACATGCAAAAATACATCAACAAAACAGGGAAACGCAAAGAGCATCATAGCTACCCTGAACGATCCCAACTAGGTTGGCACCGCAAAAGAAGCACAATCATATGCTAGCATTTAACCCAAGATTGGTGAGAAACCAATCCAAAAAAAAAGCACCCAAAGAAAAAATACAGAACAACTACAAAAGAAATAATAACAAAATATCAACAGCATTTGTTGCTGGGCTCCAAAGAAAAACACTAGTGGTTGGACACCAAAGAATCACACAGGGTACAAACTCCCCTACACCAAAGAGCAGCATGAAGAAACCTCTGTTGCTAGACACCTCTAAAGAGACCTCTGATGCTGGACACCAAAGAAACCTATGTTGCATTGAGATTCCATCAGGAAAGTCAACAATTTATCTCCCCATCGAACGTATCCAGAACAGCCCATAGAAATCCATTTCTATATAACAGAGCAGCTTAACAGACCAACAGGCCTCCTCATAGTCCCAACAAACCTCCACCAGTGCAAACTTAGATGTTGAAAAACATCTCAGCAACCTGATACAAACCATAGAGCCAGCAATCAGTTGCAGCTAGTTGCTTCATGCTTCTCCTTAAAGAATCAAAGATTCTGCTTTGATCAACACATAGACCAACACAGACATTCAAGTAGCCCGAACCACTTCCTACGTACCCAAAGTATTCAAACCCAGTACGCTTTGATACCAAGTTGTAATGCCCCCAAAATAATACAATAAAGATAACTCATATGCGAAATAAATATGAGAAACAACATACTTTCATACATTAGAGTTTACTGTTTAACAAACAATTAAATGTCATATAGGCTTATATCTTTCCAAGTCATTACTTGATTACACAAATTGAGTCTCGCTCATTTCATCTTAAGCCCTTGGCTTTACAAATACCAACAAACACACAACAATACATAATTAAGAAGCTCTTGCTTACCAAAAATCCATCCACGCTATTGTCTTGGAGGAAACATCTCATCTGCACCTAAAAAATGGTATTCCCATATAGGGTGAGCCAACAGCCCAATAGAAATAATCTAACACAATTTATGAAGTTTAGCAAAGGTATAAATACCACGTATATAAACAATACTGATATGGAAGCATCCACAAGGCCTAAATACCCATATGCCACTGAGGCCAATCTTATTCTATTTTCCTTCAATTCATTTCCAGTTCATATATATATGCCACTCAATTCATGAGTTAAATTCATTATCATCCAACAACCAAAATGAGACTACAACTCAATGGTTTTTCAATTATGCAAACATACACATAACACTTCAAACTTGCCATTTTACGGATATTTCGTCCGAAGGAACCAGCACCCATTTATATAAGAGATTTCGGGTCTTTCACCCAGGACACTTAGGCCAACTTGCTTCAAATAGAGTCCATCTCCTTTCTCCTCCCCAAACAAATATACATATGTAATGCATTTATAAACATAATCATATATATGGAGTACGTCCCTTTTCTCCTCCCAACAAATATACATATACAATGTATTTATAACATCATCAATTATGGAGTACATCCCTTTTCTCCTCCCAATAAACATACATATACAATGTATTTATAACATGGTCATATTCAATGACAACTACCAATAGATTAGCATTATATCGCCTAATCCTCATACAATTTCTACAACAATCATAACTATCCTCCACCGATAGCCCAATGCAATTATTTCCAAGATATATTCAATATTGGATTTAATAGTTTGTTCAAAACTTCTATAGGTGAGATAATACATATCCAATATCACCATTTATATCAATAATCATTAACTTTAACATATTCAACGTTAATTCCAATCATTTATACAAAATAATCATTTTATCAAATTAGGGCAAAATCTCCCTTTTTCCAATATTGACCCAAATACCCCAAAATCAACTATTTTGGTACACCAAGATCTTATTTTCAAGCCTCATACTCATTTACCTCATATTCATCAAAAACTCCTCTTTTCATTTTACACCAAAATCTTAAATTGTCCAAACCACAACCAAATCTCATTATCTATACACAATAGCAAATAACTAAACTAAAAACCATACTAGAGTGTAGAAAATCCCTACCTCAAGTGTAGAAAACCCAAGCAACAAGGTGGAACTCCAAAGATGACGAAACCCACTTTTATTTAGATCAATATGAAGCTCTTGAAGCCTTCTACCTTATTCTCAAAGACACTAGGGTCAAGAACACAATGGATCTAGATGAAATCTTAGAGAGAATGTGAGTTTTAGAGAGAGAGTATGAAGATCTTCGTTTATGGAGGGTTCTAGAGAGAGAATGGGCTATTGAAAATGACCAAAAATGTCACATTTATGATCTGATATGAACAGGGTCGCTCGAGCGAAGGAGTTCTCGCTCGAGCGACCAGACACAAAAGGTCGCCTCGCTTGAGCGAAGGAATGCTCGCTCGAGCGAACAATGCAAAGTTTCAGGTCTGCAACGCAGAAACACGCTCGAGTGAAGGAAGGCTCGCTCGAGCGAAGAACACCAACTTTCAGGTTTTACAAAGACGCAGACGCACTCTCGAGCGAAGGAAATCTCGTTCGAGCGAAGAAGCAAAGTTCTGGGCAACAACATTCTAACGCAAAAGACAACCAACCTGTTCCAAACTCACCTAGCAAGTCCTAAAACTCAAATTCAAAGAATTAAAGAAAAGAAACAAGACATAGACAACAGTATATAATCACGAAACTAGAGTTCGGAACACCACAAAAGACGGGTCAAAACCAGGGTCGCTATACTTTTCCTAAACGTGATATGTGATACTCCAACGTGGCGGACCCAATTTGATTAAATTACTGCGTGTCTTCACGTCACGCATCAAAAAACAATTAGTAAAGAATTCAAGTCCCGCACTGTGCGTGTTAAAAACAACCAAACTTTAAAAAGCTACTAGTGCGCTCACTACTACAAATATAGATAAAGATCACACTTTTTTGGTGTGATGTATGTTTTTTAATCACACCTTTTAAGTTTTATTAAAGTATGGTCTTTAGGAGTGTGATTAAAAATGGTCATTTTTAATCACACTTTTTAAGTGTCATTAAAAAATGCTTTCATCACATCTTTTAAGTGTGATTAATAATATTTAGATCACACCTTTTAAGTGTGATTAAAAACTTTAGATCACACCCTTTTAAGTGTGATTAAAAACATTTAGATCACACCTTTTAAGTGTGATTAAAAACATTTAGATCACACCTTTTAAGTGTGATTAAAAACATTTAGATCACACCTTTTAAGTGTGATTAAAAACATTTAGATCACACCTTTTAAGTGTGATTAAAAACATTTAGATCACACCTTTTAAGTGTGATTAAAAACATTTAGATCACACCTTTTAAGTGTGATTAAAAACATTTAGATCACACCTTTTAAGTGTGATTAAAAACATTTAGATCACACCTTTTAAGTGTGATTAAAAACATTTAGATCACACCTTTTAAGTGTGATTAAAAACATTTAGATCACACCTTTTAAGTGTGATTAAAAACATTTAGATCACACCTTTTAAGTGTGATTAAAAACATTTAGATCACACCTTTTAAGTGTGATTAAAAACATTTAGATCACACCTTTTAAGTGTGATTAAAAACATTTAGATCACACCTTTTAAGTGTGATTAAAAACATTGCTCGAATCGGGTTCCCGGTTTGGGAGTTAGAGCCGGATTTCACTTTAGGTAAACTAGTTCTTTAAGAAACTTGAATTCGAGGAGTTAACGCCCCAAAATCACCAAACGACGTCAGTTTAGCATAAAACCTGGCACACACGACCGCCTAGGCACGGGAGACTTGTGGGAGATGACGGGGCTCGAATCGGGTTCCCGGTTTGGGAGTTAGAGCCGGATTTCACTTTAGGCAATCTAGTTCTTTAAGAAACTTGAATTCGAGCACTACTACAAATATAGATAAAGATCACACTTTTTTGGTGTGATGTATGTTTTTTAATCACACCTTTTAAGTTTTATTAAAGTATGGTCTTTAGGAGTGTGATTAAAAATGGTCATTTTTAATCACACTTTTTAAGTGTCATTAAAAAATGCTTTCATCACATCTTTTAAGTGTGATTAATAATATTTAGATCACACCTTTTAAGTGTTATTAAAAACATTTAGATCACACCTTTTAAGTGTGGTTAAAAACATTTAGATCACACATTTTAAGTGTGATTAAAAACTTTAGATCACACCTTTTAAATGTGATTAAAAATATTTAGATCACACCTTTAAGTGTGGTTAAAAACATTTAGATCACACCTTTTAAGTGTGATTAAAAAGTTTAGATCACACCTTTTAAGTGTGATTAATAACTAATAAAACCTGTGATAAAAAAAAATTTGACATATTTAAAGAATAATCAATATTATTTTTGCACGCGCATTTGAATAATGTAATACATACTATATACTATATATTGAATCACAACCATATATTGAATGAAATAATATCATATATTTCATAAATGAAAGTTAAATGTTTAAAAATATATACAAAGAAATTAATAAAAAAAAAAATAACTGTGATTACATACATTAAAAAATAAAAAATAAAAAACTTGAAAAAAATAAGTTCTTGAATTCTTTGACCATATTTTGCACCTCTCCAAGAAATTTCTGACCTGAAAAATAAAAAAACAAATTAATTTAAAAACTGCCAAAAACATATGAATAAACTTACTAATTAATTTATAAACTTACATTTAGATCACACCAAAAATAATGTAATTTATCCAGTTATTAAACTGCCCCAATCCTTTCCCCACAGCCACCAAAAATGACATAATTATTTTGATTCTCCACACAAATAGTATAAAGCTACAAAAGATATTGATACCCTTGTAGAAGCCAAAATAAATCATCAAGGCATGAATGATTTCAAACTTTCTTAAGCTAGAATAATTTAATAATAAAACAAAAAAGTGATCTAAAACTCGAGATATGCACTTGTAGAAAATGACAATATTATTTGAGAAACAAGACATTTAATAAAAGATTAGATACTAAGCACGACACAACAAAGAGAGTAGGGGTAATATGTATACATCCACTCACTTATAGATCAATGTATTGTGCTAGTCTAAAACAATACAGTCTACACCATTCAAGTTTTTTCGGTGTCACTTATAGATCCACTCACTTCTCTCTAATTATTTCCCAGCAAAATACACATTAAACTCCCCTTGCTATTTTTTTGCTTCTTCAGAATCTTTGCTAATTGAATCTAAGTGTGAAATGATATACATAAAACTATGACAAACTCTAGTTCTATCAAATTTAATAACTTGAGATGAAGCACATCTTTATAGGAAGAGGATCAGCCACAGATAGATACTTTAAAGATTGTAACTGTCAAAAATACGAGAATTATATGATTTTCAACCATGACAAAATACTCTATTGAAATAGCAAATTCTCCACAATTAAAGTCTGTCCATGTAAGTGACAAACAATAACAGGTCCTCACTATCCAACACTTCTCTCTGTGCATGTCAATGAAATCCATCACATACAACATATAAAAGCAATTCGCAAAAATTGAAGTAGGAGACTTGTAATTATCAATTCATTCAATTAGTATATCTTAACTCTTATATGAACCCAATTTTCTGTTGGACCATGACATTATTTGCTGAAATCATAATTTTTTAGGCAGAAAAAGTAGCTCATACGGATCTCATCAACGATATCATATCTTAGATTCTGCACCATGCACCTCAAATACAACTTAGGCCCATTTGTGAAACCAACTTTGGAAGTATACCAATGTCAAGAATTAACAATTATCTTGCTATGTTTTAACAGTCTTAGACCATGTAACCTTGCCCTTCAATGGGGGCAGGATGGTTAAAATAGTATCCAAATTCACATGTTTTGAGTTCCTATGCTGCCTTGACAAATTCACACTGCAGCTATGATGTGGTCAAATAGCTATACCTCTGGATGATTTGTTATGACATCAATTGATCCAACAGTTTAAAGTATAGAAATACTGAAGCTCAAATTCCAGCAAAATTATAGTTTGCTTTTGAATTTGAGCCCTATCAAATTCTCGTCAGATCAATACAGCCAGTGCCTAGCCTTAACACTGAACAGATTTTAGGTAGGCATGCCAAACCAGCCATTTAAATAACTTATCTCAAAAGAAGAAAAATAGACATTCAAAGACTTTAATATATATATATATATATACATCTAGAACTTATTATTTGTGTTAATTTTCAGTTCAATGAGTTAAGGAGGCAACCTGAATCAAAACCTATTATGTTCAAAAGTGAGTAGAAGATTACTTGAATGCAGCCCACCCAAAAAAAAAAGGTCAAACTACATGCTTACTTCAGGCAGTTCTGCAGGTATAAAATAGTATTGCCAGCTAAACATAAATTCAATCCCACAATAGACACTGCTACTGCCATTTACATAAATCTAGTACATCACAAAAGTGACCAAAATGGCAATTGGGCTTCATTGTTCGAGGCCTACACAAAATGCATTTACACCCAAAAGGTTGAAATAATGAACTAGCATAAATGACCTTACCTTTTCGTCAGCAGAGTACTAAGTGCATTTGAAATAAAACCTGAATATTTGGATCCCCAAGTATGTCTGCAAATAGTTTTAACATTTCAGTCAGTTCACTGAACAATAGTAATACATATATCATAATCAAAGTCTGAAAAGGATGCATTTTACCGATCATAGAAACAAGGATAAATAGAGTGAAGATAACAATATTATAACCATAACAAGGGTATCCATCTTTCAAACAGCATAATGTTGAAATTTCATCCAATGTCACCTCATGCTGTTACATAGAATATGTTCAGTCAGGACATTATTTCATCAGGTTAATCCCTATGTGAAAGTAGAAAAGATAAGGTAGATGGTAAAAATCTGGCATCTAGAACAGTAGTAGATTTGTAGTGACAGTACTGGGGGTACATTGAATCCACATAAAAATATGGTTGCTCTACTTAGAAAGTGTCTCTAGATTTATGATCAATAGTTGCCTTCTTCCACAACTTGTGTTAATCCTCTAACCTCAATTGGAGACATCTACCATTTGTCACTAGTTAGGAAATAATAGGTGACCCACAGAAACAGGGGTAGAATAATAACTTCTAATAAAGACAAAACAGAGGGAGATCCTGAATTTTTGTGCAAAAAAACTTATAAGGGATGAACTATGACAATGTTTAACTCAAGGAAATTGAAAAGGAAAAAAGCACTAGATTATTGATTTCATTAGCAAAAGAGAGGCTTGAGTAATTGAGCGAGTCATCACTACACATGTCCCAAACTTACTGTAAATGTATGTTGTTGTTTGGCAGCACCATAGCTTTCCTTAACAACTCTCCCAACAATAGTTCTCTTTCCAAACCTGTTTGGATATAAACCTGTTCGAAATTAGCTCCTTTATTTACCGAGCAAATATGATTTACAAACTACGATGGAAATCAAGAGATTCATATACAGAAGGAAAACAAGAGCTGAAACCAGTGAGTTACTTCTTGTATACTTTCTGTGTAAACAAAACAACATCTCCTTTGCAGACATCACCTGAAAAGAGAATCAAAGAAGCTTTAAATTTTCAAAACCACCTTGAAGTGAACAAAAATAGTGCACTCAAAAGAAATGTACGTAAATAAACCTTTACCAGTACAATTGATGGCAAAGGATGATCTAGGATAGAGTGTTTCAGCATTTCCATCTTTTATCCTAAGGGTTAAAAATCGTACAATAAGGATACTCTTATGAAAAAATAGTATAAAGCTACAAAAGATATTAATACCCTTGTAGAAGCCAAAATAAATCATCAAGGCATGAATGATTTCAAACTTTCTTAAGCTAGAATAATTTAATAATAAAACAAAAAAGTGATCTAAAACTCAAGATATGCACTTGTAGAAAATGACAATATTATTTGAGAAACAAGACATTTAATAAAAGATTAGATACTAAGCACGACACAACAAAGAGAGTAGGGGTAATATGTATACATCCACTCACTTATAGATCAATGTATTGTGCTAGTCTAAAACAATACAGTCTACACCATTCAAGTTTTTTCGGTGTCACTTATAGATCCACTCACTTCTCTCAAATTATTTCCCAGCAAAATACACATTAAACTCCCCTTGCTATTTTTTTGCTTCTTCAGAATCTTTGCTAATTGAATCTAGGTGTGAAATGATATACATAAAACTATGACAAACTCTAGTTCTATCAAACCTTATGAACAAAGTTTCCTTATATATGCCTAAAACACAAAATTATGAAACACCAAACATAAGCAAAATTAAAGCAATTATAGCAATTATAGTCCATTTCATTCCATATTACACCAAACATAAGCAAAATTATGAAAATCAGATTCCAAAGTAGCAAAACCAAACAATACCAAACAATGTCATTGAAATCTCAAGTTCATTTTATTTGATACAAGACACCAAAAACACTAGTCGAAATTGTAAAATGAAGATCTCTCTTTTATGACCAAACTTGTGGAACAAAAGTGAAAAATAAACAAATAACATAACAGAGCAAAATTAAAGCAATTATAGCAATTATAGTCCATTTCATTCCATATTACACCAAACATAAGCAAAATTATGAAAATCAGATTCCAAAGTAGCAAAACCAAACAATACCAAACAATGTCATTGAAATCTCAAGTTCATTTTATTTGATACAAGACACCAAAAACACTAGTCGAAATTGTAAAATGAAGATCTCTCTTTTATGACCAAACTTGTGGAACAAAAGTGAAAAATAAACAAATAACATAACAGAGCAAAATTAAAGCAATTATAGCAATTATAGTCCATTTCATTCCATATTACACCAAACATAAGCAAAATTATGAAAATCAGATTCCAAAGTAGCAAAACCAAACAATACCAAACAATGTCATTGAAATCTCAAGTTCATTTTATTTGATACAAGACACCAAAAACACTAGTCGAAATTGTAAAATGAAGATCTCTCTTTTATGACCAAACTTGTGGAACAAAAGTGAAAAATAAACAAATAACATAACAGAGCAAAATTAAAGCAATTATAGCAATTATAGTCCATTTCATTCCATATTACACCAAACATAAGCAAAATTATGAAAATCAGATTCCAAAGTAGCAAAACCAAACAATACCAAACAATGTCATTGAAATCTCAAGTTCATTTTATTTGATACAAGACACCAAAAACACTAGTCGAAATTGTAAAATGAAGATCTCTCTTTTATGACCAAACTTGTGGAACAAAAGTGAAAAATAAACAAATAACATAACAGAGCAAAATTAAAGCAATTATAGCAATTATAGTCCATTTCATTCCATATTACACCAAACATAAGCAAAATTATGAAAATCAGATTCCAAAGTAGCAAAACCAAACAATACCAAACAATGTCATTGAAATCTCAAGTTCATTTTATTTGATACAAGACACCAAAAACACTAGTCGAAATTATAAAATGAAGATCTCTCTTTTATGACCAAACTTGTCGAACAAAAGTGAAAAATAAACAAATAACATAACAGAGCAAAATTAAAGCAATATAGCAATTATAGTCCATTTCTAAACCTTTTTTTCTCCTATTTTGTCAATCTTTATTTTGGACCTTTTTAATAAAATATTGAATTCCTTTAAACAGATTCAGATTAATAAAATATTAATAAAATATAAAATACAGTCACAGATTCAATTAAACAGATTGAATGTAAACAGATTCAGTTTGAATGTAAACAGACACAGATTCAGTTTGAATGTAAACAGACACAGAATTAAATTATCAAATTCATGAAATTAACTGG